TTTACCCCTCTTTTAAACATACACCACAAAAGTAGAATTTTTAAAGTTGATTGGAACCAAAAATAAGTTACCATTAAACTTACCTCTGAATTCTCATCACAGTCAGGATGGTGACTAATTGCTTATTTGAACCTTTCTCTGAGAGCCCGTCTTAGAATAAATGTTCAAGGGTGTGAACTAAAAGGGGCAATTTCCAAGGCAGAACGTTTTCTTTCCTTAAGTTTCAGGTTTGTTCCTGTTGAAATTACTTGCTGTTATAGATTCAGGGTGTGTGTGTGTGTGTGTGTGTGTTAGTTAACAGATGAAGCAACTATACAAGTTAGTCTTTGGATTATTACATGTGGAAAAATTTAATTCAAGGAGTAGAAAAATGAAATGATAAGTAATTTGTAGATTTAATGATACTTGAATTTGGGGGGGGGGGGCTGTTATCTGTTATCCCTTCCTACCTTTTGGCATAAATAGAAATGGTTTGAGTGTTTTATTAAGAGAAGGTTGAGTCTTTTAAGTTGAAAAGTGACCAGTTATCTCTTGCTGTATAACAAACCCCCCAAAACCTGGTGGCTTAAAACAATGATTTATTAATCTCATGATTTTGTGGGTTGACTGGGCAGGTCATGTGGTGTCACTCGTGCAGCTGCATTGAACTTGGAGTTTGGCTGGGTAAAAACCATCCAGGAAGGCCTGTTCTCCCCCATACGGCCTCTCACTCCATCTGTTTTCTTATCCTCCAGTGTTCTCTCCACATGCTCTCTCATTATTCCATATTTTAGCCTAAGCTGCTTATATAACAACTGGATACTAAGAGTAGCTGCCAGGCCCTCTTAAGTCCGAAGCTGGCATAGCATTACTTCTGCCACATTCTCTTGGTCAAAGCAAGTTACAAGTCTAGCCCTGCTTTACAGAGAGGGGAAATAGAATCTGTCTCTTGATAAGAAGATAAAGAATTTGTGACCATCTCTAACTCACCACAGAATGTATAGGGGTAATGAATAGGATGCCTGCAGAAGGGGATCCTATTGCAGATGAGTAACAATTTTTTTAAAAAATTGGTTAGATATAGTAGATTGTGGTAATATCTGTAGAGTGAGTAGAGTAATACATAATTGGATTCTGGCATGGTTCCTTTGAAATGATGAGGATGTACATTGTATATTGTTAAATTTTTCTTACGTGAAATCAATTGTGGATGGAAGTTCATTGCTTCTCTGAAAATTTTATACAAATGTGAATGAAACAAAAAGATGTGGTTGTACTGAGAAAACTATGGTTCAGTGCTAAGAGAAAGATAAGGTGATAATATTGATTACCTTTGCTTTTGTAAAGGTTTGGGGTTTATTAAAGATAGTTCCTCTGCATTCTTGCAGAGAGCAAGAGTATGGAGCTGTTACATTTGTACTGTAGGACCAGATGCACAATAAGTGCTTACTTACCACATATTTAATGTAATTTTTATAATATAAAGAAGTGTGTGAATTTTTTTAGGAAAGTGTATAAGTTCTGTGTGATTTGATTACATACAAATTAAATTGCATTATAAAAAATGAAAGGAGGTATTCAAGTTTGTTCTTTATCCTATTTTATTGTAATCAATATATTTAAAATCATGAGTTCAAAAAATTAATTTACTTAATTTGAATTTACTCTCAACTGTGCCTACTGCTGTGCTTCATCCATAGTGAAGAATTTATTACTGGAGTCTTTGTACACCCGTGGTTTTCTATCAGGAGGTGACAGTGACTGGAGACATCTTTGGTTGTCACAGCTGGAGGATAGTACTGAATGATATCTAGTGGGTAGGAGGCCAGGAATACTGCTAAATATCATACACTGCGCAAGATAGTCCCTTACAACAAAGAATTAATCTGAGCCAAAATACCAGTATTGTTGAAGTTGAAAAATACTGTCATACACTAAAGGATGAAAATTTATTTTGCCGCTCTTTTTGGTGTCCATATACATTTTCCCCCTTTTAAGTGTGTGATACAGGAGCTCTGTGCCCTCTATTTGGAACCAATAAAGACTTTTTAAAAAATTTTTTAGATGTTTATTTATTTTGAGAGAGCACGCACGCATGAGCAGGGAAGGGGCAGAGAGAGAGGGAGAGAGAGAAAGAATCCCAAGCAGGCTCCATGCTGCCAACGCAGGGCCTGACATGGGGCTCAAACTCAGGAACCGTGAGATCATGACCTGAGCCGAAATCAAGAGTCGGACACTTAACCGACTGAGCTACCCAGGCACCCCAACCAATAAGGACTTAATTTTAAGCCTGATATTTTTAAGTTCAAAGTGACTGTACAAGCATCTGTTATTATCAGAGGCTGGAGTTGACATGCTTTTGCTCGGGTAACTAGCTTTGTTTGGATCTGTGCAAGATTTATGAAAATTTATAATTAGAGGTGTCTCTGTCTATACTATATGTAGATATAGAGAGAAATCATTCCATTGGGTATTTGTGTGCAGTTTGCAATATAATCTGTCAAAAAATGATCCTACATTAATCATTTCTAGTAACACCTAAATATATGGGCTGTTAGACAAATTCTTGGTACATTGACAGTGTGGGGCTTGGGATATTGTAATGGTGGTCATTGTAACAGGAATTGTTTTAATATTTACTCTTTTGTATACACAGGTAAAAAACTGGGTCAAAGAATTACGGAAAATGTTGGGAAATGAAATCTGTTTATGTATAGTTGGTAAGCATCATCACTTTTTAAAAAATATGTCCTCTATTTTCTGATGTTTTATTAGAGAATAGCAAATAAGTAATTCTCATTTTTAAAGTTATGTGAGAAAAGAAGAATGACATTTTAATATTCAAATATTTTAGAATAATTTAGGATTTGGAAGTGATCTTTCAGAAGATTCAAACTTTAGGGAAGGCCTTGGGGAACAGGTGGGAAACATGTAAGGCTTCAACTGCCAGCCTTGCTTTAGTTTGATCTTTAGTTTTTCACTGTAAGATTTTTTTTTTTTTTTAGAAAAAAAGAGTTTAGGATCTAATTTCAAATAAAATTAAAGCTAATGAATTCAGCAAGCATTCTTATTTTATACATTTAACTATGCACATTTTTGAGTTAAGGACAAATTTGATTCCAAGGATATGAGTAGATTATGATACTAGTGTAGAGGAATATTCTTAATGGGAAAAATGAAGGAACTGTAGAACTCATCCTTGGACTTCTGGAATTTCTCTTTGGTTCCCTTTTTCTTTAGTTTATTATTTCTATGATCTAGTAACTAATTATTGAGCAGGAAAGTATACCAGACACTATCCTGTGTTCTTAGTAGATATTATCTCATGTAATCCTCATAACCTTATGAGGGATTTATAGAGGAAGCTGATCCCTGGAGATATTTAATAATGTGCCCATTATCAAGCAGCTATCAGAGATGGAGTACAAATTGAAATCATTCTGACTCCTGTGCTTTGTTATTAATTCTTGTGATGAATAACTTCATAGTGTTTTCTTTCTTTCTGCATGACTGGTAGGGTAAAAATGGCCTCGGAAAAACCAGGGTGGGTTTAGTGGAGGGCCTAGAATGGAATGATTGATGTGGGTGTATTTGGCTTTTTTAAGAATATTTTTTTTAACTAGAATTTACATTTCTTACATTGTGTCACCATTAAATTGGTAAACTTTACAGTTCCAGTTCAGGGTGCAAGTCTGGGGGAAGAGGACACAAAGATGATCTGGCCTGTTTTTTAAGTCTAGATGCTAGATGGTAGGCTAGATGGCAGGAGTATTTCAGAACAGAACCCTGGAGTAGTAGACTACATGGGAGTTTGGGCCAAAGCTGCAGCTAGTCATTACTGAGTTTGGCCTGGCTTTGTCTAGTAACTGGGACTTACTGGGAGTGGAAGTGGCCACAGTAGGTGAATGACTGAAGATTTGATTATTTGAGATTCTGGTTATCTCTCAGAAGAGGGAAAAAAATGACTAACATATACTTAAAGTCAAAGAAGCCTCCAGTTTGTTATTTGACCAAGGTTACAAGTATTGTTTTTTTACTTTTTAATTTTTTAAATTTTATTTATTTATTTTGAGAAAGAGAGTGTGTGAACATGAGCAGGAGGGGCAGAGAGAGAGAGAGAGAGAGAGAGAAAGAATCCCAAGCAGGCTCCACACTGTCAGCACAGAACCCGACACAGGGCTTGATCCCTGGGGTCATGACCTGAGCCAAAATCAAGAGTGGATGCTTAACTGACTAAGCCACCCAGGCACCCCTAAAGTAACATTTTTTAAAACATAGCTGGATAGGGGGCGCCTGGGTGGCTCAGTCGATTAAGCATCCAACTTCAGCTCAGGTCATGATCTCGTGATTCGTGAGTTGTGAGCCCCTTGTTGGGCTCTGTGCTGATAGCTCAGAGCCTGGAGCCTGCTTCAGATTCTGTCTCCTTGTCTCACTGCCCCTCCCCTGCTTGCGCTCTGTCTCTCAAAAATAAATAAAAACATTGAAAAAAAATAGCTGGATAAATAAAGCTTATGAATAATTTGAACTGTGTATTCATGTTCTTACTATAAGAAGGTTTAGGAATAAATCTGGTAGCTTACTGCCCCTCGTAGAATCAGATAATCCTCATTTAATATTATATAGTGTTTAATAATTATTGGTATGAAGTATAAAAACCTCTCACTCCTTTTCTGTTGGCAAATGTGACATGGAATTTTGTTGTAATTCAGTGATGAAAGAGTTTTGAGAGCCCACTTACCACAAAAGGAGAATTTCACAATGTATCTGTTTAAACAGTAACTTAGAGGGCTCACCTGTTTCTTTTTCATCCCAACCCAGCTGCCTTTCTGTCACCAACGCCCACCTCCAGATACTGTCTTGACTTTTTACTGCATGGACTAGTTTTGATTTGAATTTTATATAAATGGAATCGTATAGTATGAACTCTTGTATCTGGTTTTTTGTTTTTTTGGCTTTACATTATGTTTGCATGATTCCCCTCTGTTCTTGTATATAGTTGTAGTTCATTTTATTCTTTGCTCTCTGGTACTTTATGAATATTCCACAATTTATCCTTTTGTTATTGATAGCCATTTACATTCTTTTATCCCCTATTGATTTTCATTCTATTTTTTATAGCAGTTCAGTGTTTATTCTCTCTTCTGTTTTATTACTAAATTCAAAATAATAACACTACTTCCCAGGATTGTGGTGAAGAATAATAAACACTTGGCATAGAGAAGGCATTTGACAAATGTTTGTTGCTTTTCCTTTATATAACACAGTCCTTCAAATATTTGGACGGTTTACCTGAAGTGAAGGTCTTCACTTCACTTCTAGGTCTTCATTTGTTTTTCATTTGGTCTAACTTCTAGGCATTCTCATCATCCTGAGTCCTTTTTCCTAGGGTTGTTTCAGTATAGAAGTGTGTTTTCTACACTTGAACACTAGAATCTAGACATTGTTGAGCCAGTGTATACTTACATAGCTCTCTTTAAAATTCTCCCATTATCATTCTACCAACAATGGCCAAGATTGCGTACACTTTTTAGCATCCATGTCAATTCAGTGTTTCTTTTACATAGATTATAGTTAACAAAAATCTGAATCACTGTTTTATAAGTATCGCTCTTCTGTCAAGCTTTTCCCATCTTGTTGTTGTATAATTAAGTTATTTAAACTTAAGTGTAGGAACTTCAACTCATCATGTTTCTGAATCTTTATGTTTGATGATATCATCTTCTGGCTTTCTCATGTAAATTAAATAGTCCTTATCTAAACCACTTACAATGTGTTAACCAGTAATGGAGAACCCCATATTTGGCTAGCAAAGACTTTTTCCTCTCAATTTTAGTTAGTTCAGTGATTAGCATTCTTAGCTGTGGTTGCTTTGCTTGATAGTATTTTGCTTCTAGTCTGTCCTTAACATTTGTATGTTTATTAAATAGTTACTTTTAATAATAGTTACCATTTATTAAGTTCTAAGTACTGTTGTAAGAACTACACATTTATGATTTCAGTAAGTCTTCTGGCAACACTACTAGAAGGTATCATTGCCATTTCCATTTCACACATGAGAAGTGGGCTAAGAGCTTGATACTTCCAAAGTACATAGCCAGATAGAGGTAGACCTGGGATTTTAACTTAGGTCTGTCTGCTACATCAAGAGTAAGTGAGGGGCGCCTGGGTGGCGCAGTCGGTTAAGCGTCCGACTTCAGCCAGGTCACGATCTCGCACTCAGTGAGTTCGAGCCCCGCGTCGGGCTCTGGGCTGATGGCTCAGAGCCTGGAGCCTGTTTCCGATTCTGTGTCTCCCTCTCTCTCTGCCCCTCCCCCGTTCATGCTCTGTCTCTCTCTGTCCCAAAAATAAATAAATAAAAAAAAACGTTGAAAAAAAAATTAAAAAAAAAAAAAAAAGAGTAAGTGAACAAAGGTGCCTGGGTGACTCAGTTGGTTAAGTGTCTGACTTGAGCTTAGGTCAAGATCTCATGGTTTGTGAGTTCGAGCCCCGCGTTGGACTCTGGACTGACAGCTCAGAGCCTGGACCCTTCTTTGGATTCTGTGTCTCCCTCTCTCTGCCCCTCCCCCGCTCGTGTGCTGTCTGTCTCTCTCTCTCAAAAATAAACATGAGAAAATAATTTAAAAAATAAAAATAAAAAAAAAGAATAAGTGAACAAAATAGATATGGTCCTTGTCTTCCCAGAGCTTATGTGTAGGAAGAGAGAGAAAAACAAGCTATTACTATATATTACAATAAATGCTATGAAAGGGGAAGTACAGAGTGCTGTGGTAGCACAAAAGCAAACCTAACTAAATTTGGGGGGTGGGGTGGGGATGTTAAAGGAAGATTTCCTAGAGTGTTGGATTAACTAAATAAGCTAGACGAAGCCAGTGGGGTGGTGGTAAAAAGTGTGTTGCCTATCATGGGCTTTAATTTTCTCCTAACACTGTTAATTTTCCATTTGATCATTCACTGTGATGAATATGGCTATTAATAACTGCTCCTTACTGAGTATATACTATATACTAGGCCTTTTACATGTATTTTCACATCAACTGTGCTAAGTTTGTTAGCTACATTTGTACAAAGTGATACTAAGAGAGGTTAGTAATGTTCCCCAAATTATATAGTTATGAAATGACCCAGGACAGGAAAACAAGTTTTATCAGGGTTAAAGCCTTTGAAGGCTTCCTTTGATTGATTAGGCCACATACCATTGGGTCTCAGCAAAACAGGTTTCTAGCTCTTTATTGCCATTAGGCCATCTGCCCTTAGCAATGGGTATATCCTTTCCATGATCTTAATTCAAATGTGTTTTTATAAAAAATAAAAGTTTTTGCTTCTTAGCAGGGTGGCTTTTCACCTTCCTCTTCAAAAGCTTCAGCCAATTTTTCCCCCTCATCTTTATAGTACTGTACTTTACTTGTTGGTAATCTTTTTTCAGGTGTTTCAAGTCTATTAGAAAGTTCCCTACATAGCTGTATAGTAATATTGAAACAAATATGAACCTCAAAGCCTTAATCCTTTAGATGTCTTGCTTTTTTTTAATGTTTTTATTTTTGAGAGAGAGACAGAGCATGAGCAGGGGAGGGGCAGAGAGAGAGGGAGACAGAATTTGAAGCAGGCTCCAGGCTCTGAGCTGTCAGCACAGAGCCTGATGCAGGGCTCGAACTCATGAACTGTGAGATCATGACCTGAGCCAAAGTTGGATGCTCAACCATTTGAGCCACCCAGCCTCCCCTAGATGTCTTGCTTTTATTTTTTTTTTAAATGTTTTTTTTTTTTTCAACGTTTATTTATTTTTGGGACAGAGAGAGACAGAGCATGAATGGGGGAGGAGCAGAGAGAGAGGGAGACACAGAATCGGAAACAGGCTCCAGGCTCTGAGCCATCAGCCCAGAGCCTGACGCGGGGCTTGAACTCACGGACCGCGAGATCGTGACCTGGCTGAAGTCGGACGCCTAACCGACTGCGCCACCCAGGCGCCCCATAGATGTCTTGCTTTTAAAAGAACTGTAGGCACTAAAAAAATTTTGAGTTTTGGAAGGATGTCAGTCACCACAATGTGTTTTTTTCTGACTTAATCTGTGCTGTCACTCCCTATGAATACCGATTGTTCAAAGAACTAGTAGTAAACAAAAATTTTTTGTTTAAAAAAATAATTAGGTTATTAAGATAGCTATTTTAATGATAACCAGATTTATTAAAGTTAGGTAAGTTTAAAATGTTATTAGATAATATTAGATCATAGCAGTGTCTGAATAATTTCCCCCAAATATTCATTTGAGGCAGTACTCAAATTTTCTACTTTCTGTATCCTCATTTTTTAAGAACAGATGTTGATAATCCTGGTGGAATTTGAAAACAGAGGCATTAAAGATTGAGAAAAACAACTCATAGGGTTTTAGGTAATTGGGACAAAAGTCTTCTTGATCGGAGACTCGTGGCAGTCTTGTGCCTCTGTTGGAACCACAGACCACTAGGTGGTGCTTTTTGCTTTCTTCATAGCATAAAACAACTTCTGGTGACTGTCCGCTATATTGGCTGCAATATTTAGCAAATTTAAATTTTTATTGACAAGTAGAATGTAGAAAATCAGAATTAATATGGTTTTCTTGCTAAGGTAAACAATCCCCAAAGAAGGAACAGTTCATTATAGAATTTGTTGATAATCACTGAGCTTTAGTATAATCTGTTTCCCTCTCCTGCTTTGGCTATGTTGTAAAATAGTGACTTGCAGCTGCCCACAATTGGGTGCTCAGTTTATTTGAGGTCCTCCATGTACAGAACCTCCGGGCTTCTACTTCTCAGTTGTAAGCATCTTTCATTGGGTGCTTATCGTGCTTTATCTGAAATCATCTAGATTCTCTAATGTCCCAAGAAAAGATGACCTTATTTACAAAAGTTTCTTTTTTCCTCTGTAAGTCAAAATAGAAGATATTTGTTTGAAATATCCTTCCTTTAGTGTTGTCTGTCCAGCCAACTCACCTTAACCTCTATTCTGTATTTAAATAGGGCATCTGCATTTTGCAGTTTCTTCACTTTTATTCTGGTGGCTTTTTTAGCATAATTTCGGTTTCGTCCCATTGTTTAAGAAGAGTTAAACTTATTTTCAGTAATTTTAAATTCGTATGATATGCATATATTAAGCTCTCTCATGTTAAATAAACAGTGCAGTTTCCTCTCCAGTGGTGGTAAAATGCTTAAAGAGCCATAATACCAAATACCCTTAGGTTAGCCTAATATCTTTCATGAATAGTAAGATAGCCTTGCTTAATTATTGACTGGCTCTGTGTTGACTGGGGACCATTTACACTTGGCTAAGAATCATAGGTTCCCAAGTGTATGTTGTCTCACTTATCTCCTAAATCAAAGAATAGTGCCCATCTCTTTGGAAAAGTTATTTTCTCTGCTTCAGGAGGGATTTGCATTGAGCCATTTGAAGGAGGTTGAGGCATTTACCTTGACAGTCATGATCTGCCCTTATATTATAGGGTTTAACTTTATAGTTTCAGGACATGTAGAAGTTTAATGGGAATTTGTATTATTTTTCCAGGTGATTAAAATGGCAATTGTGTATTTAGAATTGACTTAGTTCTGTTATAAAAATGAATCAATATTAAGAATTGGCATCTTTACTTTTTCAAACTAGGTAATAAAATAGACTTGGAAAAGGAGAGACATGTTTCCATTCAAGAAGCAGAATCGTAAGTGATCACCCTTTCTCCCTCCCGTCACTCCCTGGTAGAAGTCCTTTTCTTTGCACAGTGTATTTTACCATTTATGTAATAATGAAACCTGTTAATCTAAAATGAGCTATTGGAATCAGTGAAGCATATTTACATTGGTAATTTCTGGACTTTTGACATTTAAAGTTACTCCATTCTCACTTCTCTTTTTGATTTCAGTAAAAAATATAAAGAGTGATGTGAAAGAAAACTATCATCAAATAGTGAATCACAAAAACTTGTATTTGGGTTCCAAATTAACTTAAACATTTCAAGTGTTGTTATTCTCATGTTCTTAATTAAAATTTGGTTCAGTGCATCTTAATTTCACTAAATGTGGGTTAATTAGTAATAAGTCACTAAAATTGCTACTTAAAACATGAAAAAAATTTTTGCATCAATCACTGACGTTACTCTTTTTTTTTTTAAGGTATGCAGAATCTGTTGGAGCAAAACATTATCATACTTCAGCCAAACAGAACAAAGGAATTGAGGAACTCTTTCTTGATCTTTGTAAAAGTAGGTGTATTCAGACTTTGTATATTTTAGAAATAGCTCTTTTAAAAATATTGGTAATATTTTTTAAGTGATGCTTTACAGTCTCAATTAATGACCACACTGATGATTTATCACATCTGACAGCACTATTATTTACTTAATATTTTTTTCTTAAACTCATTATTTAAAGCTTAAATACCTATTTAGCTCTATTTCAAGCACTAGTTAATGGATATGAAATCAGCGGATATGATATGTACTAAATACACATTAAAATAAATACATAACTGTCAAAAATAAAATTGGAGGAGAGTATACAGATTAAAACAGATTTAAGAGGTATAACAACCTGTTGCACTGGATGGACCTTATTTGGATCCTGATTCGACAAAGTAGTGAAAAAGGACATTTGTTAAACAATAGGGACTATATGAATACTCGCTGGATATTTGATGATATTATTAAGGGGTGTCTGGCTAGCTCAGTTGGTAGAGCATGTGACTTTTGACCTCAAGGTTGTGAGTTGAAGCCTCACATTGAGTATGGGTGCCTGGGTGGTTCAGTTGTTTAAGCATCTGACTCTTGGTTTCAGCTCAGTTCATGATCTCACGGTTCATGAGTTAAAACCTCACATCAGGCTCTGTGCTGCTAGTGCTCCCTCTCTCTCTGCCCCTTCCTCACGCTCTCTCAAATATAAAAAAAAAGAAAAATTAAAAGAAAGAAATTATTGAGGTTTTGCTTCAAGATGGTAACATCAGAAGATCTTGAACTTATCTTTTCTCATTGATACACTGAGTCTAAAGGTACATGCGATACAATTTCCTCTTTAAAAAACATAAAGTCTTACTGAATGACAACTATACCTTGGACAAATAATAAGAAAATGACACTGAAGAAGGTAGAAGAGGCTGAAACACAATCTTGCCATAAACCGCATCCCTGGTGTGATGACCCACAACTAAAAGGGAACTCAAAACCTATAGCTTCTCCGTAAGGAGTGAAGATTATGAACCCCACAGTGGGCATCTCAACTTTTAAGACATTAATGAGATGAGTCCCCTAACCCTAACCCTAACCCTAACCCTAACCCTAACTTTGAAAATCAGCATGTCTCACATCCCAAGACCTACAATACTGAAAGTCTGAAAAACTGTTTTTTGGGTTTTTTTTGAGATAGAGAAGAGAAGGCTCAAGTGAGCAAGGGGCAGAGAGAATCCCGTGAGGGGCAAAGAGAGAGAAGGCGGGACTCAAGCTCACCCAATGCAGGCCTCAAGCTCACCCTGTGCGGGACTTGAACTCAGCAAAAAGTGAGATCATGACCTGAGCCAAAGTCAGCTGCTTAACCGACTGAGCCACTCGGGTGCCCTGAAAAACTGTTCTTAAAGGGCTGTGTGCTTGGACTCACCTGCCCCAGGGCCTAGGTCAGAGGCAGCTGATCACACTAACTTAAAGTGAGGGAGGCTTAGGGTACCTGGGTGGTTTAGTTAGTTAAACATCCAGCTCTTGATTTCAGCTCAGGTCATGATCCCAGGGTCATGGGATCAAGCCCTGTGTCAGGCTTAGCACTGAGTGTGGAGCCTGCTTGAGATTCTCTCTCTCTCCCTCTGCCCCCTTCTCTGTTTATGCTCTAGTTCTCTCAATAAAAAAAAAAAAAAAAAAAAGTTTTAAAGTGAAAGAGATTCACCTGCTTAAAAGTGTCTGCCCGCAGGGCAGGCATCTAATCTAACACACACATCTAGGAGCCTGCTGGTGTAGTACTCTCCTGGGACGGAGGCTGGCGGGTGTCATCTTCATGCTTTTCCTTTGCTGCATTCCCCCTTTGCTGTGCTCCAGAGTACCAGTATCTCTGGTAGGAGAGCTTTTGCACACATTTGGTGCCCCAATTTTTGCACCTGCCACCCAGGAAACACCTCTTAATCACCTGGCCTAAAGGCCAGGGGAGCTTATATTCTTAGTCCTATTGGACTATAATAATTGGTGTTACTCAAAAAGGAGCTCATACTCCTGTCTGGCACCCCAATTTTTGTAACTGCTGCCAGGGGACCCCTCTATATTACCTGGCTCTGGTGGCCAGTGGGGCCTATGTCTGTGGGTCCCACAGGACTGTAATCAACAGAGAAAGAGCTCTTAAACAGCCACCACCCACAGGACACAGCAAGAAGCAACAGATCCACAAGCTCAATTTTTTCGTGAAGGAGGCCCATTTGCTAATCGTCATGACTGTGGCCTGAGGGGCAGGTTTTAGGTTTGGCACACATTTAGTGGCCTGTGGAACTTCATTCAAGGAATGTAGGCTGTGGGCACCATCTTTGTGCTCTTCTTCTACCTTGTTCTGGCTTGCTAGTATAACCTAGGAAAGAACTTATACATTTGTCTAGAGCCCTAATTTTAGTGACTGCTGCCCAGGGGACACTTCCAGATCACCTGGCCCTGGTAGCCAGTGGGGCTTCTGCTTGCAGTCCCAGAGGACTGTATATCTGCATACTTTTAAAAGCTGATACCTAAAGATCGGGCTTCCAGTCAGCCTGAATCTAGGTGCTGAGATTCTCTTATTTGGGACACTGATACATCTTGGCACATCCTCAACTACTGGGAGCTATTAAAAATACAATAGGCTGCTTGGAGAAGCAGCCTGTTCCATTTACTGTACAGAAAGCAACATGGAGAGTCACACAAAATGAAGAAACAGGAATATGTTCCAAATGAAAGAAGAAGATAAAACCTCAGGAAAAAACCTGAATAAGACAGAGAGATAAGTAATTTACCTTACAAAGAGTTCAGAGTAATGGTTATAAAGATCCTCACAATTTCAACAGGAGATGGAAGATATAACAAATAGAAGTCAGAGCTAAAAAAAAACAGTAAATGAACTGAAAAATACACCAAAGGTATTCAACATCAGCCTAGATGATGCAGAAGAAATGATCAGTCAACTCAAAGACAAGGCAGTGACACCCAGTAAGAGCAGCAAAAAGAAAACACGTGAAAAAAGGTGAAGATAGTTGAAGGCATTTATGGAACAATATCAAGCAGTCTAACATTCGCATTCTAAGGATCCCAGAAGGAGAGAGAGAGAGAAGGGGGGCAGAGATCTTATTTGAGGAAATAATGCCTAAAAACTTCCCAACCTGGGTAAGGAAACAGACATCCAAGTGCAGGAAGCCCAGAGAGTTCCAAATAAGAGAAACCTAAAGTGATCCACACTGAAGATACATTATAATTAAAATGTCAAAAGACAAGGAGAGACTATTAAAAGGGGCAAGACAAAAACAACTTGTTACATACAGGGCAATCCCCATAAGATTATCAGCAGACCTTTCAGCAGCAGTTTCACAGGGCAGAAGGAGTGGCATGATATGTTCAAAGTACTGTAAGTAAAAAGCCTTCCAACCAAAAATTCTCTACCTGGCAAAAGTATCATTCAGAAGTGAAGGAGAGATAAAGGATTTTCCAGACAAGCAAAAGCTAACGTTCATCACCACCAAACTTGCCTTAAAGATATGTTGAAGGGACTTCTTATATCTGAAAAGGAAGGGTGCTGTTTAGTAGCAGGAATACACATGAGAGATGAAATCTCACTGGAAGGTGAATAGTAAAGGTAGTATATTAACTGATTATAAAGTTAGTGTGAAAGTTAGAAGACAAAAGTAGTAAAGATAACCATAATTGTGATAATTAGTTGAGGTATACGTGAGATGAAAAGATGTAAAACATGACATCAGAAACATAGGGGAGTAATAATGTTGAGCATTACAGTAGGATCAAGTTTAAGATGTTATCAACTTAACAGGGTGCCTGGGTGCTCAGTTGGTTAAGCGTCTGACTTTGGCTCAGATCATGATCTCACGGTTCATGAGTTCGAGCCCTGCGTCAGGCTCTGTGCTGACAGCGCAGAGCCTGGAGCCTGCTTTGTATTCTTTGTCTCCCTCTCTCTCTGCCTCTTCCTGCTCATGCTGTCTCTTCCTCTCTCAAAAATAAATAAACATTAAAAAAAATTTTTTAAGATGTTATCAACTTAAAATAGACTATTATAGACACAAGTTGTTATATGTAAGCCTCTTTGTAACCACAAAACAAAAACCTATAGTAAATATACAAATGATAAAGACAAAGGAATATAAGCATACCACTGAAGTATGTCATCAAACCTCAAAGGAAAGAGCAAGAGAAGAAGAAAGAAACAAAGAGTTCAGAGTAATGGTTATAAAGATCCTCACAATTTCAACAGGAGATGGAAGATATAACAAATAGAAGTCAGAGCTAAAAAAAACAGTCAAAGAGGAATTACAAAAACAGCTAAGAAATAGAATGGCAGTAAACATACCTATAACTACTTTAAATGTAAATGGACTAGGTTCTCAAGTCAAAAGACATAGAATGGCTTGAGTGGATTAAAAAAAACAAGACCAGGGTGCCTGGGTGGCTCAGTTGGTTAAGCATCGACTCGATTTCAGCTCAGGTCATGATCTCATGGTTCATGGGATCAAGGCATGGGTTAGGCTCTGCACTGAAAGTGTGGCACCTGCTTGAGATTCTCTCTCTACCTCTCTCTTTGCCCCTCCCCCACTCACACGTGTGGGCACACACTCTCTCAAAATAAATAAACTTAAAAAAAAAAGAGGTCTTAAAAAAAAAAAAACAGACCCATGTATATGCTGCCTATAAGAGACTCGGTTTATTTATTTATTTTTACTTATTTTTAATTTAAATCCAAGTTAGTTAACATACAGTGTAATAATTTCAGGAGTAGAAATTCATGATTCATCACTTACATATAACACCTAGTGCTCATCACAAGTGCTGTCTTTAATGACTCTCACCCATTTAGCCTATCTCCCCACCCACCATCCCTCCAAACCTCAGTTTGTTCTCTATATTTAAGAGTTTCTTATGGTTTGCCTCCCTCTCTGTTTTTATCTTACTTTTCCCTCCCTTCCCCTATGATCATCTGTTGAGTTTCTCAAATTCCACATTTGAGTGGAATATGATACTGCTTTTCTCTGATTGACTTATTTCACTTA